TCATCAAGGAATACGCCTAAAAATTTTGTGGTGCAATCTCTTTTTATTTCAATATGGCCAATAAAAATATCAGGTAGAGTTGGGGTAAATAACGTTTTTTAGTTATCGAATGAAAAAGAATCCATTTTGTTTTTTTAATATTTAGAGTAAGTTTATTGCATTTGAACCAGCTAGAAATTATTTTGAGTTCTTCATTCATAGTAGTGAAGAGTTTATTAATATTGTTATCAGATAAAAATAAATTAGTATCATCCGCAAACATAATTCTTAAAAGATTAGAAGCTTTATGCAAGTCATTAATGTATATTAAAAAAAGAAGTGGCCCTAAAATTGACCCTTGCGGAACACCACATGAAATATCTAAAACATTTTTTTGATAAGGATTGTTAAAAGAAACGAATTGTTTTCGGTTTGTAGAATAACTTTTAAACCACTTCAAAATTACACCATCTACTCCATAATATTTAAGTTTATGAATCAAAATGCATTGATTTACTGTATCAAATGCTTTTGATAAATCCAAAAAAATACCTAAAGTGAATTGGGAATTTTTGAAAGAGCTGGAGATTTCACGGACGAATTGAATGATTGCATGCTGAGTAGAACTTTTTTTTTTTAAAGCCAAACTGATTTTTATAAAAAAATTGTTCTCCTTAAAATAAGTATATAATCTATTGTAAATAATTTTTTCTAAGATTTTTGAAAATGTTGATAAAATAGAAATAGGTCGGTAGTTACTTATATTAATTCTGTCTCCTTCTTTGTATATTGGGATTATCTTAGCTATGTTTAACTTATCAGGAAAAACTCCTTGTTGTATTGACGCTCTGAAAACTTCAAAGAGAATATCTTTTAATTGTTGAAAGCATTCTAAGACTATGTTTCCATTTATTTCATCAGCTCCAGGGGCTTTATTTTTTTAAAAGATTTAAACGACACTTGAAACTCCTCAAATGATAACTCAGAAGATAAATTATTTGAACAAATGCAATCATCCATCGGTGTTAAAAAGTTATTGAACACAACTTGGGTATTAGGAATTTTATTTGCTTGTTTCGAAGCGATATCAATAAAGAATTTGTTAAACTCATGAGCTATTAATCTAGGTTTTGTTCTTAGCTTCCAATAGTTTCAACTTTTTCCCAATTTTTGCATCTTTTAAAAAGCATCATTATTTGAAAAAAGTATAAACATAAAACTGTTTGGAAATTGCTCCATGTTAGCTATCTCAAACACCAAAAAATGCTGGATCCGTTATTGCCACAGATGTCTTTTTTCTGAAGCAAATTTGCTTCGCAATTCAGCATTTAAACGCTGCAAATGTACAATAAATATTTATATACATATAAATTCAGCTTATAAATATCTCAAGAAAACATCTCAAGAAAATATGTAAAAATAAAATAATTTTGAAATTTATTTTTAAGTTTCAGAGTTTGCAGTTAGGTATCAGATCAAAATTCTAATTATTAAAACGATTTAATAACAAGAAAGGGAAAAAGCAGATGCTGTAGTTAGCTCCTTGAATCCACTCTTTTTCTTCTTTTATAATGGTTCTTGTTTTAACAAATTAATATCCTACCCTGCAATATATTTTTAAAAACAAAAAATATATTTTTTGTTTTGAGAAACAAATTTCTTAAACTATAGCCAATAGATTTACGATTTTGCTGTCAGTTCTGATGAGTTGTTAGCAACTTTGAAAGATTTTAAAAGTTTTGGAATTCATTGTATCCAAAAAGTCTGAGGGAGTCTCATCCGTAAGCATTTTTTCAAACTATTACTTGAAATATCAAAATTTAACCAGTAGTCTGGTGAAATATACAGCTCAAGACCTAGTAGCTGGTCTTTATCAACAAAAACTGCTCTTAGAAGCATCTTTAATTCTATCAGTTTTTACATCTTTTCGGACCTCCCTAGTTTTTGAATACAGAACTTTTTACCATTTTTATATTGTAATCTCTGTAAAAAAATACTAACGCCAGCGCCACTCGCCACTATGGTTTTACCATGATTTGAATTTCACCTCTGCAGCAGACAATACACACTAAGAAATAAGGGTAAATCGGGGTGTTATTTTATACCCCAAGGTATATTTACCGCTACTTAATCCTAATATTGAAATTGAGGTAGATTTTTCTGCCTTAGGGTATAAATTTCGCTACTATGTAAAGGGGTTTTGAAAAAATACCTTTAACCTAAATCAAAAATCAAACGGCAAACTGTTTATTAGAAAAATTAAGCCAGAAATTTCTACCTCGGCATTTCTACCCTTGCACAGCGAAAGTTCGAGACAAAATGGTATGATTCTTAGGTGGCGAGGAAAGTAGAATGCTATATATTACATATCTTAGGGTGACCAGACGTACTCTTTTTTAGATTATTATACTCTTTTTCAAGAAATATCTTCTATACTTTCTCTCTTTTTTATTTAAATCACTAAATATACTATTTTTAAAAATTTTATTAAAAAACTAATTTTTTTTTTTTGTTGGCAAAATCTCTAAACTATTTTCATGTATGAAATATTGTAACTGCTATAACAGATTATGTTGAGTATACACTTATTTATACTAAAAATTGTATTTAGCTTATAAATGGGTTCAAGAAATATATATATATATATATATATATATATATATATATATATATATATATATATATATATATATATATATATATATATATATATATATATATATATATATATATATATATATATATATATATATATATATATATATATAGTTAGTTTATTGCTATTTTTTTATGTTGTGCTTTTTGAACGACTAATAATAAATTTCTAGATGTTTTAATTAGATCTAATTTTGAAAAATCGTAAATTGTTGGTTGAAAATCAAAATCATCATTATCTACGATTTTTGTCTATTTTATCGTAATTAATCGTCATAATCTACGATTTTAGAAATTTTAAAATTAGATTAAGTTATAGGCCACCATTTTAACGTCCATATTTATTCTTTTTTTGGTTTATCATTATTTCACATTAAGCCATAAAAATAAGTTTTTTTTCCCACTAATTAAAATTTTTTCATAAAAAATAACAATATTTTTTACAAAAGTTTAGAGACATATTATTGTGAATGTTTGTGGAAAGAATGTTTCAAGCATCAGGGTTTTTTACTTTCATTTTAATAACAGATATTACTTTCTTACTGCATTAAAAATCTTTAGAAAATCGTATTAGAAATTAATAAAATAACACAATTTTTGTTAAGATTTATTTATAAAGGATTCAAAATTTTTTTTTTGTAAAACAAGATTTTTGTTTATTTTATCTTTTATGCTATTTATTTTATCTTTAAGTAATTGACAAAAGGTAGCTGGAAATGAAGTATGAAACTTTTTTGAATAACATCAGAAATTACTAACGCAAGTCTGGTTTCTTAGCATTGTATCTTAGCAACAGTATTACTAACCCAAGTCTGGTTTCTTAGCATTGATTTATTTTAAATCTTTATTTTAAATATATTTGTGTGTTTTATATAAATATACTACATTGAATAGTATTCAACGTATACATTCAGTGAATACGACAAAAGTATATTTTAAAAAATTTTGATTGTAATTGAAAGTTTGTTTATTGAATTACAATATTAAAAATATTTTATTATTTTAATGTCTAGTTGGAGTGATTTTGAAGTTAGCTTACATATTGAGCAACAAAGGTCTCCCAACCATGTTAGTCAATTAGTTGTCATTGTATCAGATAGGTGTTAACTATTGTCACTTTTAAAATGTTAAGCACCAATTTGTATTAATATTAAATATCTTAAAATAATCCCTATATTCACAAATATAAGAAGTATTCTGTGGTAGTCGGTTAAATGCGAACTACAAACCGGTAAAATGCGAACTTTTTTGCGAGCAGATACATAAATAATATATATTTTTAAAAGAAATACAATTTAATTTAAATAAAATATATATAATTACACAATTTTTAATTTAAATTAAAAAATTGACGAGTAAACGTTTTTTTTAAATATCATAACTGTAGTGGTCATTAAAATGTCTTGGTTCGCATTTTACCGACTAACGTATTTTGTTACATAACTTCTATATTGTTTTATTTTTTACTTAATTTTATAACGTATGAAGTCCTTTATTAACTTTTATTAACGTATTAAGTCCTTTCTTTTTAAACGTATCAACACTTCTTTTTTAACGGAATAGCAACATCTAATTATTTGATACAGAAGCGTATTAACTCCTTTATTTCAAAGAACTGTTCGTTGCACTAACGTAATAAATATTTTAACGGACTTATATTAACTGATTTTAATGTTAAAATTTTAATCCGTTAATTTAACTGAAAATTCGCTGTTGCAATAACGACGAATTGATTTGTTACCGAATCCGTTGAATGCAACTTTTTTTGGGTGAGGTATAAGCTAAGAAACAGAAAACAAAAATGAAACTAAAATAATAAAAAGTAAAACTAGCTTTCACTTCTTCATCTTTTTTTTTTATGCTTTTTTTAAACAGTTAAAACCAAGCATAAATGAAAATATGAGCATAGGGTACTAAAAATTATTCATGTTGCTGCTAATAATCAAGAATTTGACATCTTTTATTTTGGTTAATCAAGAACCCAACAGCTATAAAAATTAATAAAACTAGAAAGCAGATGTGAGTTTGAATCAAACTTAGCTATTACCTCACGTACCAATCAACAAATAATAAATAAGTTGAAAGCTTTACTATTCAAATAACCAAAACTGCAACAACTTATCAATAAAAAAAACTCTGTATATCGGAGAACAACTTAAGAAACACCTACACAAGATTTTCATGGAAACTTTTTTTTTAGTTTACACCATCTAGAAAAATAAAATTCAATCATCAAATGCACAAGTAGAAGCTGAAGATGAGATAAAAAATGAAGTAGAACTGAGATAAAATCATTTTGAGGACATTCAATAAAATTCAGCGTACCTCTGACAGATACTTTGTAAATATGTAAAATAATTCAGAAATAAAGTTTGAACATTGTTAATACTAATCTTAAAGTATAAGTGAACATCAAGCAATTCATTTAATATTTATCTCTAAGTGTTCAGCAATTCAATGTATGGAAGCATAGAGATATGCTTGTAAGAAGAACCTCGTAATAAACGAATGCAAATTTAATGTTTTGAATCTTCAAAAACATCGACAAAAACAAATGTCTTCTCCAAGAGAAATTACCCAGTAAATTGTTAGATTGATAATAATTTTATTAAGTTGATAAAGTTCATTATTGGATTTTTTGTTAAACAATAAATTTATTCTAACATTATATCTTGTCCATAACGTCACGCCATTATAGGGTGCTAAATACCTAACACAACAAAATAACAAAAGATTATTACACAATATCTATTAAATATTCTCATTTAACAACTTTTATAAATAATACCTTTGATAAAATATTTGTGCTAAAGTCTAAAACCCCATCTGTCTTTGCCAACTTCACAGATTTTTGGTTAAAATTTCTTTCAACGTTCGAAGAAACGTCATTCTTTAAATTCAAAATAAAAAGTCAATTAAAACAGCCGTATGTAAGAGTTAGTAATTATCATAGATAATTACTAACTCTTACATATATGTGCAATAATAATAATAGTGTAGTCTACTGTATAAATATGAATAAATAATATGTAAAAATTGAATGCAAAATTTTGCAAGCTAAAAATTGAGCTAATATAAAAATAAACTTTTGTTGATCCTGAATGTTCCCAATTATTTATGCTTTATGCAGAATAACTTTTAGTAAAACAAAAATTTTATTAGAGTATAATTCTATTATACCAGGAGGAACTTCTAAACCTGGAATGTTAATCGACTCAGTAGTATTGTAATAAAAATACTAAAAAAAATAATTTATTTTTAACACTAAAAAAAAATTTACCATCCTTCTACATATAAAAAAAACTCTTGGTTTATTTTATATGTAGAAGGATGGTAAATTGAAGACCTTAGTGCTAAAAGTATTTAAGTCACAAAATGCATAAAGTTCAAATGCATAAAGGAGAATATTCAAACTAACCTTGAAATCAAGCAAGACATGCCAATACATTTCTAATAACCGCTATATCTTTACATTATAATAATGAATAAGCATGCTTATTTTAAAATCTTAAAACCTCATCTTTAAGAAGATGTGTAATTTATTTTTAGGACTTGAGTACTGTTTGTCCTATTACTAGACTGAGGTACTTTTTGCACCAAAAGAAAACACTGAACTAATTAAATTTTTCAACATATATTATTACTATTAAGTAATAATGTAATTACTATTAGTAAAAATGTCTATTCTATGTCTTCAAAGTCACTCGTGTCTCCATTTAAATCTATGCCATGAATATTACAATGAAAAGTAACTCCTTCTGGAAGATTGACATGTGTTAAAAGTTTACAAATATTATAAAATTTGGCAGTTTTGACAAGCAAAAAATTTACGTATGCTCTATTAGGTTTGAGTGAAATGAGAGTTGAAAGTTTTTTACCACATTTGAAAGTTTTTATGACATCAGAGCATTCTTCAGCCATTGAAATTCGACAAGTGGTACCTTGCCTCGTTCAAATTTTGCTCCTCTGAACTCACTATTTCCAGTCACTGATTTTATCAAGGGATCATAACCTCTTTTAAAGTCAAGTACTTTGACAACTGGGGTTCCAATCATGTTGTCTGTAAGAGGATGTTTCACATACATTACATTAAATGGTCATTATCTGTATTCTTAATAAGTGATACCCACTGTGAAGGTAAAATTACCCTGTCCTTTTTTCTTCTCCTTTTTTCAATGCGCTTGAAATTTTGATCACAAGGCATTCGGCTATGACCCGGAAGGGATACTTTACATAAGCTTGTATTATAGAGACATTCTTATTTACCATTCTTTGTAGGTAGGTAAAGAATGGTATTAATCTTTATGTTAAGCTCATGTTGAAATTTCAGTTTATTTACAAAAATCACATAATTAATAGATTCAGCTGCTTTAATTTGTACTTGAAATTTTTCACACTTATCACATATGCCATTATTTGGAAGTTCAAATTTAATATTAAATTTGAAGTTAAATATGTCATGGTAAAGCCCGTATTTACAATCATTAG